CTGCTCTACATTTCAAACATACTTTTTATTAAGCAACTGAAAACCTTCACTTCTTTCAAACAGCCTCCTCAAAGCCAAAAGAACTAGACAGATGAAGGCAGAAACAGGTCTTTGAAACAGTATGGCTTATTTCACATTCTGTTCACTGACAGTCACCGTGGAAAGAAAACAAGATGACCACATTAGATCTTAAAGGATGAGACAAAGTTGGACAGATGGAGACTAGGAGAGGGGGCTTTACATTAAATCCTTGACAGGAAAAAGAAAAATTAAGTCCTTGGGGATATCTTAACTGATTTCTACTTGGAAAGTACAACACCCATCAAAGAATGCCAACCATCTCTAAATATTCCATTTGTATTTACATTAGAGTGAGGGCTACAGTGCCAATCTAATTTTGTTCAACAATTTCAGATTAAGAACGTGCTTTCAAAACCACTGAGTGGATTAAGAAGGCTTCTAGTGCAGATTCGATGTTTTCTAACAACTGACAGACATCTGCAACTTCTGTTCTTCTGGGAACCAGATATAAATGTCACTGGGTAATATTAGTCCTGCTCAAAATAGTAAATTCCTAAGAGAAACGAAAATGATTACTTTAGCTAAAACTATATACCTTTATAATGAAAGAGACCCAAAAGGTTATCTACATATCAATCTTCCTAATACAGGAATCTTTCCTTTGTCATCCCCCCCCTCTCCTCCCCCATCAAAGCACGGCCACTAAGCTGTCAATAATAAAGGATCCCTAAGTCATGAGGGTGCCATATGTTCTCCATGTTGAACTGAAGAAGGACTTCAGTTTCTGGACCTGGATGAACCCTCTTACAGAAAACAAGTAAATAGACAATATAAATTTTTTTAATCTTCTAAAAAAAGGCTATGAGCTAGCGAGAATGTAAGAAATCCTGGAAGGCCAAAGAGGTAGCGAAAGTGGGCGCCTAGGAGGTACGTGTGCCCATGGAAGTTGGCTTTTTTCTGGAGAGTCTCTGCCAAAGCCAGCTGATCTCAAGCTCTGATTTTTACAATTCAACAACTGCTTTGCTTAATCCTTGACACAGATGTAAGAGGGAAAAACAGCTGCAATGAGATTTTGCAACAAAAGATTTGCCCTCACGCAGTTCTGCAGTCTGAATTCACACACTATATGGATGGTCCCCAAAATGGACACATCAAGACCACGCGCACAAGGGGCCAGAGCTGGGGTGTGCCCGGGTGCGTGGCAGAGCAAAAGCAAATCCTCTCTGGAAGAGCAGGCTTCAATTCGAGGCCTCAAAGAACTTCCACAGATAAATTTCCAAGCAATATGAACTTACAGTCAAAAATCAAAAGTGCACATGAAGTCAAAGCATCATGAGCAAAAGCCAGCAAAAACTAATGGCAGAAAGGGACCTGCAAACTCAAGCACACAGGTGCCCATTCCTCCCTGAAGCCACAGAGACTGCGTGTAATCACTCTCATATAACAGTTTAAATTTTCTTACACAGAAGCAACCATAGCCCTGTCCTCTCTCCTTTCTACGCCAAGACATAAGCTCCTTTCACCACCTTGGCTTTTATCCTTTGGACACATCCCAGCTCATAATCCTTTCCAAGCATTCCCGATGGCATCTGAGCACTGCAGACAGGATGGAATCATCCACTTTCCCTGCTCTACACTCTGCTTCCATGAATGAAGCCAGGTACATAAATGTTCCTTTCAATCTTCTTGACTCCCACTCATGAAACC